TTACACACCTACTAGACATTCAGCTTCTCAAGCATGTGATTGCATGTCCTTCAGCAAAGGTTCAATAAAGTATCTTGCATGCAACTAATACTAAGAGCAGCCCACCATGAGATCTGCCAGGGAGCAGCCGGTTGCCTTTAAATCTACAAACCCTGGCTTGTATTCCAGTAACTTGTTCACCAGTTCACTTGTCCAGGTCTGCAGATCTCACCATGACAACAAAATTATGTAATAACCTGTATTACTCAAGTGTCTTTGTTACTTCAACAGGGTCAAAAAGTAGTTCTACAGAATTGCCTAAAATAAACCAAGATTTTCTCATCCTAATCCTGGAAGCGGTGACTGCTTGAACACCAACTCCCCTTTATTAGTCATACATTGCTTGTCCTCCTTAGGCTGATGCAGATGGGTCCAGATAAATACAGAGGTTGGGACTCCATTCAGTTTACAAAAGGACATACCTAACAATTTCCTGTTACCAGCCCACCACCCTGCAGGCTTCTAAGCAGCAGGATAAGCTCTTTCATGTCCACCCACTGTATCTACATAGACAATATAGCCATCATGCTTTTAAGGACATCCCTACAAGCCATGTTTAGACGAGTCACACTAAAAGCATTAACTGGCTTCAGAAAACTAACAACAGTGTGACAGGAGAGTGACCCTTCCTTATGTTCAAGAAGCCATACAGGAAAGCACTCTCGTTGCTTGGCTTACTTTTTCTCTGTAACCACCCCCTCCTAGACCTTGAAGCAGTTTCTAGAAAATGTTCTATTTAAACAGACATTTCCCCACAGCTGACATGCAAAACCATTGTCATTTCAAACAAAACAAGGCTGTATTTAACCAGGACCCAAGTATGTGGAACTACAGAGATAATGTGGAGTACTCTCACCCTGCAAGAGGATCAGAGTCAAATAGTTTTATCTGCAGACCAGTATTTATGGAAAAAGGAGAGATTTCTGTCATAACTGTGCTGCTGGGTACTGCTCCTGAACCCTGGGGGTCCATGTGAGTTCTGTGGTGTTCTGTCTGGAGATACCAGAACCCTTTCCCTAAGGTTTTCCTGCGTATAACTCTTCCTGCCTTACAGTGCTACTTTTCTCTCAGTGAGCATAACTGACAAGGTCTTGCAGTACACTCTCTGCCTAAGTACAGTAAACTAAGACACAGGCACAGAAATTATACTACACAGGATGAGAGTCAAACATCTTTTCTTTATACATGAGACTCTGCAGTGCAATCAGGTCCACATAATCATGGAATGGTTTGGATTGGAAGGGACCTTAAAGACTACCTAGTTCCAAGCCCCCTGCCATGGGCAGGGACACCTTCCACTAGACCAGGTTGCTCACAGCCTCATCCAGCCTGGCCTTGAACACTTCCAGGGATGGGGCATCCACAGCTTCTCTGGGCAACCTGTTCCAGTGCCTCACTACCCTCTCCATAAAGTCCATTCTGAGCTCTGTTTTGGCAGCCAAGAGAGACCAGTAGTTGCATTGTATGTCAACAGTATAAGAAAGATGCAAAAAAAAAAGTTGTCCAGGGTTGCTTTATGCACTCTTACATGTAAGAAGATTAAGAACAAGTCTAACTAGTTTTCAGAAACAGCAGAAAATCCAGCATTAATCATCTACCAAGACGCAATGTTCCAACATTTCTCATGAAGTCATGTGCTTGTCTGTCCACCTACTTAAAAGTGAGGTAAATAAAACTCCAAATATTTCAACACAAATTAATCCTAAGAAAGAATGTTAAATAGTATGAAAGGAAAATAAAAATCAAATGTATGAACCATTAGTTACCAGCTTCACGTCAGACATGGCCAGGCTTCGGAGCTAAGCATACAGGAGTATGAGCTTCCTCACCTCCTTGTTCCTTCTATGCCATTTCTGAAATCCTTTTCTATATTCAGAAGAAAATGTTGTAGTATTATTAGTGTTCTACATGTTTTGTATGATACTTTGATACAGCTCATTCATCCTCACAGAGTTTTGGTTAATAAACTTCATTACCAGCCTTGCAGAAAATACAGTAACAGTTTTGCTCAAAATGGCCAAGAATTTATAGACATTCATTTACCCTCAGTAATCAAGCATTCAGACAATAAAAATGGTACTTTTTTTTTTGCCTCTTAAGAAAATTTATCAGCTTCCATACCAGCTTACGCCAGTTCTTCTCCAGGATTCTGCAAAACCCTGACTGCAGCACACCGTTCAGCATTACAGAGAGGCACTGGACTTGTGTGCCACAGCAAGCGAGCCAGAGAAAGGGCCAGCATACTGTTTTTCTCTCCCCACAGCAGAGAGAGCAAGCGAACAAGTTGTGTTGGCATTACTCCACAGACATCAAGAGGAAGCCAAGGCCACCTCCATTTACGGGAACTCTCTTACCATTACGTGTTCTTGTGAACAACAGGGGATAGAAAAACGCATTTACGGGAACTCTCTTACCATTATGTGTTCTTGTGAACAGGGGATAGAAAAACAGCCAAAAACTCAACGTTCAAGTAACTTATTTCAGGATTTAAAGGCAGTATAAATATTGTGAGATTGTACGAGTAAACAGCATAAGACAACATCTGAGTTAAAGCGTTCACCACCAAAACCAGCTTCTCCAAACAAAAAAAAATTAGTATTAAAGCAAACTAGCAGACAATTAGAGCAAATACCTTCAGACAGTATCTGAGGACAAAGGCTTTTGTCCTGAGAATAAAGCAGACTCTCCATTCTTTTTGCTATCGTACTGTAAAAACACTGACCACCCTTAATTCATTTGAATAGTTTTTCAATAGCATAGTCATTCATTCCTCACCACACCCACGCACCTTTTCTCTGCCTCTCATATTCATCATCAAAAGCCAGTCAAATAAAAACTCGCCATGTGACACCCGATGAGAAGCTCCTCTAACCTTTGAGTATTAATTAGGCTTACGATCTTCCTTTTTATTTTTTGAGTTTACATTTAAAAACCTGAAACAGTCATGCCCACCTCTGAGGAACAGCTTACACCAGCACTGGTGGAAGGGAACAGGAATAGAGCAACAAGAAGCAACACGCTATGAGCACCTACATTAGCTTTTTAAAGTTGTATCAGTTTTTAAGCACTGCCTACCCATCTTCACATTTCTGGTTCACATTGTGGAAATTCCCTGTGCATGCCAGACAGACTTAGAGGGAACTGAGCTTGCATAGGTACTCCAGGGGATTGCATAATGCACTCCAGTCCCCAGTGAACATCCAGTATATGGGACCCAAACAGAAACATGCCCTAACTAAAACTCCCAAAACATACACAGCATGGAAAAAAGGCCTTGTACAAGCATTTTGCCTTATGGACACCATGTCTGACAATACAAATATTGTTAGTCCAGTCAAATTCTTAACAAAAGAAAAAGATATGAAAGGTTAAACTTTCTAAAGTTGAGGATGGTTGTTCTTTTACTTCATCTAGACATGTGAATTTAAATGTTACATTAAAAACAAGCAAAAGGTTTAGTAATTATATTTGATTTCCAAGTCTAAATACCACCTCCGAATTAACACATCCTTCTCAAAGATTATCTGTAAGGTGTTGATGAAGCCTAAATTTTAAACACAGCTTCCCCAGCATCACAGGAAGAGCTAGGACAAGAACAAGACAAAATAAGTTAAGTGCTAGACACAAACCCAAACACTGCCATTTAGACTGCAGGTTAAAATCTCCAAGGTAAAGAAGTTGATGGGATATACTTGTAAGTGCACATGCAGCTATCTATGAACCAAGTCTGACAGAACACATGAACGCAGACGTAAGAGAAACACTTTCACTGTTGAAGCTACACAAAATATACTTATTTGCTGTAGCAGTAAAGGCATTCCCACAAAAGGAATCCCTTAAGGAATTCTGAAAGGAATCCTGCATTGACATATTCTTACATATGCACCAGACAACCTCCTGAAGTTACAACGCTTCCGCTCCCCCACTTTAAAACCTCATATTTACAGTGTACTACCCGAGTTTGACTTGACCCAGGACCTAAACTGCGTGCATCTTCCCTGGTCCTGCCACGAGACAGTCCTTGGAACAGTGCTTCAAGTCCTGATGAATGCCAGAGAGGCAGAGCTTGCAAGGCCAAACCACTGCTAAGTCACTAGTTGGTGTCCAGGTCATGGTGATGAAAATGCTTATCTATGCCAACAGCTCCATATTACACCTTCCCACTTTTTACATGCAGCTTCTCTGTTTAAAGGACATATCTTTATTTTCAGGATGCAAGCAGGTACTTCTGGTCCCGATGTGCAAGAGCATCCCTTCCAAGGCCTTCAGAAAAGTCCGAAATTAATTTGAGCCAGCAAGAGTAAGCAATTAAACTTTTATTTATGATCATTTACAAATTACTAAAAATATTCACCACAAAATGCAAACTTCGAGTTATCTTGTATTTAGCAGTGAAAATAATAATCTTTTTCATAGTAAAGCACCAAGGAGCATGTAAGTCAGGAATAGACTCCACATGATCAGTTTCTCCTCTCACAATGTACATGACAAAGTTGAAAGTTTTATAAAAGTCTAAAAGTTCCAGAACAAATTCTAGAGTTACCTGAGTGCTTGGCAGGAACAGTATTATTTAGTAGCAGTTACATTATCTGTAGTGGAATTTACACAGCACTTTTTTCTGTCTTTTTTGGCAGAAAAGAGCTGCTTTTCACAAAAAAGTGACACACAGTTGGGCCAAACACTGGGTTTCATATTTCAACTGAATTTTTCAATGAGAGCAAAACAGAACAGTTTACCAGTAGGAGAATCTAAACTGTAAGAGCAGATATCAAGAGAGAAAGAAATAAAGAAATCAGGTCATTATAGCCTGATTGGTAGGGCCCCGCTGCTTACAGGCACCTTTACCAACTACTCCACTCAGCTTTTTCCGTAACATTTTATTAGCATTTCATTCAAACACACCACATTTAAGACAACATGTCCTTAAGTGAAGTTGTATACATGGATAAATACATGTACACAGTTTTGGTAGTCATTTAAAGCTGGTAAAATTTACATGTAAAGAAGAGTCCTATGGACTCCATTAGATATCAAAGAAATAACTAGAATCAGGTTGTTACATACAAAATTTTCTAACATAAACCAATACAGCTATCAAATGATTAATTAAGATAAAACTGTTATACAAAAAGAGAAATGCTGCCTTTTTAATCACTTCAGAACAGCAAATAAGAAGGCAGTATTAAGAAAAGTGCACAGCAGAAAAGAATTGTTCAGTGTTTTGAAAAAGGTGAATTTTTCTTCAGACATCAGGCTTTTGTCTAGAAACAAATCAGGTTAGGATTGCTTATATTCTCTCTCACATCAGTCTCTTCTTGCACTAGTTCTCAGTAAGGCGCTTACTCTGACATGTAGGAATGATACATCAGAGCCACAATAGTTGCTGCTATTGCCGGGATCACCCAGTTGGACCATGAACTACAAGAGAGTTTGAGACAGAAGTTTAGGAAGTGTCAACCAGCACGTTTTAAAAACAAAGTCATTTCTTAAAGAAGGCTTTCCTCCCTGCCACCACAAATATTTAAAAGCTTGGGCAACAGAACACCTGGGATGGCCAGTAATATTCTAGCCAAGTAAAAAAGCCATTTAAGTATCAACATCACATGACGCTTTCATACATGCAAGCTCCCCATTCAGATGGGCATGGAGCAGTTCTTTGAGGCTTCAGCAATAGGGTGTTGTCAGCAGGATATAACTTTATATAAAGTTTGATTCAGTGGTGTTCCAAATGTTTTTTCCACTCCTCTCAATTCTGATAGCTTTTCCTTCTTACAGACACAGTCCTTTCATTTCTTAGATACAACAGCTGTAGCACATTTTAACAGCAAGGCATCAATGTCAGCAAAATCAAAGTCATCAATGGCACCAAGCACCTTCCATTCACCTGACAGCCTCCAGAAACCAAGGCTTGTGTGACATAAACCATTTGGTAGAGACTGGTACATATCAAATGTGAGATAAAATCCAGACAAGCAGCTAGCATGTTTGTGAAGTGGTGCACAGATGCCAACTTGGACTTCGCATAGAACAGAAGTTTTCATGCACCGTTCTCTGACATCTAAGCTTCCAGCTATTCAGCTTCCTAAGCTTCAGAAACATAATTACGAGGAACTTTTAAGTTTGACATGAGGTGTCATACTATACCTGGAATTAGACTGAACAGTGGTAATTAGAGTTTCCTGGAAAGCAAAGCATAAAGAATTATTTACATCAGGCAAACATCCCTCTCCATCTTAACTAGCACCTCAGTTTCTCAAAACTAAGTGGGACTAATCTGAAACCAACTCAGTGCATTGCATTTGGAAAGCGTTTTCTCAGATTTCCTATAAAAGACTGTTGTGTTAGAAGCTAGCTAGCAGCAGTTTCTGTAGTCAACATTGCATCAGAAGTTATTAAAAAAAATACCACAAGGAATTTTGCTGCAAATTTTTCATGAAACTAACTTCAACCTCAGGTTACATTTGAAAAGTTTTAGGCACTTATAAGACAAAGATACTTTACTTGCCTAAAATTTAATTGAAAAGACTCTGAATTAAATACATAAATACATCTTACATGGAACATACGTGAAGAAAGCTACTAGTTTACAGTCACAAGGCTTATTAAACTTTGGTTCTTTCACAACCTGAAATGCCACAAAACCCTGTCAAGTTACTATAGTTGTTTCTGATACTGAGTAGGACTTCTCATTCAGTTTCCATAGAAAAATCAGCACCACAAGATCAAATCCCAGTTGGGTACACGTAGACAATTCATATGAAGACTTATTTATCTGAATACTGCTAATTGCACATAGCCCTAAACACATTCAGAAGATCCTTGTGTTAAAACTGTACTTGAATTTAGTAGCACAAGATCCATCACTGAAAAATTAATTGCTTCAGCATCAGAATACTTGCAATTTGTTTGAAGAAAAAAAGATTCTAACATCCTCTCATAGGTTCAAACAGGCTACTTTTTCAAACCCCCAAATCATCATAGGTTTACATGTGACAAATACCATATTTAAAAGAATAAGACTCAGGTGATTACATCTATATTGGTCTTGTGAACACCTCCATGACAAACTAACCCCAAAGCCAAACAGCATGGAACAGCTTGTGCCCCACTATCAAGGCTAACACCTTGTACCACAGACTTGCCACATCCAGGGCTGGGGGATGGTTCCCTCCCACACCAAGACAGTAACAATATGGCCCGGCTCATCAAACCCTATTTTTTAAACAGTGTGACACTGGACATGTACACTGAGGGTACTTTAAATACACTGCAAGGACGGGAAGAGCATTTGAAAGCTCAAAGCCTTCTGACGGCTCCTAGAGAGCCAGGGCAAGGGCCTAACCTGACACACTACACATCCGGGGCAATGCAAAGTGAAACAGCCTTATCAGCTATGCCCACACATCCAGCTGGGCAGAAGCACACCAGCTTCCTTCCGGAATGATCAATACACATGCGTAGTGTACATAACTATGATCAACACTAGAACAAGGGAATAAGCCAAATAGGGAGTGCAGTAAAGAGTCATTTAGAGACATCTTAACTCCCAACTGACCACATTTTGGCCAAACTAATACTCTAAGTACCTCAGTTGAGTAAATTCCTGTGAGCTTAACCATGGGATTATAAGCTACAACTTGCACTGGGCAGTCTGTTGCTCAGTTGCATTCATGGCTGCTCTTAGAGCTTAAGTGTACACTGCCCTGAATGTCAAAATACGTCTAATAGGAGCTGTTATTTTTGGTGGAAAGAAGCTCTGAATTCCAGTCACCACTCCATTTCTTATTTTTAGTAGTATATAGTCCTTAATAATAAAATTAGTAGTGAGCATTTCAGTATATATACATATACATACTTTAACTTTCTTTCCTTTGACTTATTCATGTTACTGGAAGATCTTTCAAAGGTGCTACTTTTCAGAAACAACCTCTCAAGCAGCAAGAGTGAGATCTTATTCCTACTACACTTAACCTAAAAAATAATCTTCAACTATTTCTTAAGTGCACTGTTGTACTGTTAAAGCCAGCCTTGAGCAAACATCCTATCCTCTATTCATGCAGCAGCAGAAACTGTACAAATTATTCCCTTTTGCACCTGCTCCTTTAAGGGACATCTGTATTTGGAGTTTGATACTTGAACACCAACACAGCTTTGTTAAAGATAATGGAAAAAAAACAGTAAGTGCAATATGACATTGGCAGCACACTCAATCTACTGAAACAATCAGTAAGCAAGCCATATTTTCATCTAGAAAAAGTGTTCACAATTACAAATTAAATGATCTATAATACAGCAATCAAATGCTTCTGCAGTCTCTACTACTTTTACCCATATATTATTTGTGGTGGAAAAAATGCAATTCTTATTAGTTTAATCCATTCTGTCTATAAACTGAAATTTTTTTGTTTAACAGAATACTAGAAAGCCATTGATTCTAGATTCACCCTCTTGCTATAGTGTAACAACATCACACTTGGGAACCTCTTGGTTCAAACCAACACAAACTAGAGAAAAGCAAACAGGAAAATAAACCCGTTCATCTTGCTTCACCTTGAGACTTATGTCCTGAAACACTACACTTAAATCAAGCTGAATTATTTTTGCTTCTGGAGGTATACCATTTACAGACAGACACCATCCCTAATGCCTAAAAGAAACCATTTAGCATTTCAAGAAACACACTTACGGTCGGTTTCTGAAGCTTCCCTCTATCATCCTGCAAGAAAACAAGCAAAAGACCCAACATTTAGATGAAACCCCAAAGCATTCAAATAACATTTATCTCCAAATTCAGTTTGCAATCCTCTTCTGTTAATGTGTACCTATTTTTACCTAGCAGACAAACTCAAAGGAGTAGATGTCAATGTATGATTTTGAACTACCATAAACATGACCACTTCCTTAAATCATACTTCCCAGTGTACAGCAAAGTAGTGAAACCTGAGTCTCCACTATATTTCATTCTTTCTCATGCCCATGTTTTTGCATTTCCTTTGTCTCTAAGCAGTACACACAACCTCAGCTTATACACTGACTACAATCATATTAGTTTACTTTTAACTAGTCTACTCATGATACTGGGCAAAGTCATCTACCTAGTTCTGGTCCAGTGTCCAGTACAAAGGACCCAAATTCTACGGATCTTCCATAAACTCGAATTAAAAAAAAGTCACATCCACTACAAAAAAGCCTACCAGTATATAATCTCGACGGTGCTGTATTTAAACTGTGAAGCTCTTTGTTTGGCAAGAGTCTGTTTTCATTTGATGTGAAACAAAGAGCTGGACTACAAGCCAGGTTAAAGAACAACTTTACTGCTATCAGCTGCCATCTGAAATAGATGGTATCCCTGCAAAGTGACAAATATGCATCAGAGATTAATTATTTCTTAAGTAAAGCTACTCTCAGCTTCATTTAAGGTCCCAAGACAGGACCAAGAGGTCCTTACTGTAAATAACACTGATATTTACCCTAAATGCAAGACAACACACACAAAACAGAAGAAAGAAGAGGCAGGGATGGACAATAAAGCAGAAGACACACTAGCAGCCTAAGTCTCTAACAAGTGGTTTTCAATATTAGGATGCAGGAGAGCTTAAAATAAGGCCTATCTGAAGGAAGACAGGACAGCAGCTCTGTAGCTATAAAGAAATCCTTCAAAGCTTGAGGCAGCAGAAAGGTGCTTGTTAGGAGTACAGGAAACAGTAAGGACAGTATAGAAAAGAGGAAGTGACAGATGATCTGTTGGGAACTGATCATGAACAACCCTAACAACTACAAGTAGGGAACAGTGATATAGCACACAATAGGGGCACCCAGAAAGGGTATCAAAGAGCATCAAAATCTGTAGTTTGACAGAGCATCAAACTACAAGTTGCTTAGAGTAGCCATTTTCTAAGCATACATATCAAGAGCCAGGATTGTACTTCTAGATCTACATGGAAGCCTGGCATATATATTTACAGTGATGAAAGAATAAAGGCGGTTGTTAGTAACCACTCTACATACTGACACGAGAAGAGGTTCTTTCTGACATGGAACCTTCAGGTGTTAGAGTCTCATTATAAAGCTCAAAGGGTACACCAAATCCAGCATGATTCCATATTCAGTTTATTCATGAACTTCTGCTTTGAAATATTTCAAAGCAGAAAACTTTCAGATGTGGCTATCCTTATGCTATGCTAACCAAATCCCTTCACAATGGGGGAACTTATCTCTAGTCCAGGTCCATCCATAAACAGCTGCAGGGCTTGCATCCAACCAAACTAGCAGCTCTCCTTTATTTTAAGGTAAATTATCAGAGAAATAACTAGATGTAAAACCACTACAGTAAACAGCAAGTACTGGTACTTTCACATACTCACCGGATGAAGTTCCCCAACAATAAAGCTTTCTGACAGTGTCCTTGCATCTGTGGAATGACCAACATCTTCAAAGTTCTCAGTAGCATCACCCCCAGCTTGCTCCCTGAGGACCTCTTCACCACCTGGATGCTGCAATTTTTAATGAGTTTGAATTTGTTAGTGAAAAGTACTCCACATTTTAAAAATGGAAATTCATTTCTAAAAATTAGCTAAACTGTCCCTGCAAAATCAGCTGCTAGACTTCAGAGCAAACATAAGCCCCTCTGGATGACTAAAGCACTTCATGTATTCTCTGAAGCCGACACCACCAGTAACAGAGCAGTAAGAGGCATTAAGCCTAACAACCAGCATTTAGAACATTAGGAGAATCAGTCAGCCTTGATAGCCCAACTATTATCTGAAGTTACATTCCATGTTCTCACTTCTACAGTAAATGCATGTTTATACAAATAATCCTTTATACAGCAAAAGGATAGAAGTTAAAACCTGTAAGTTGCAGCAAGACCATTCCAGGTGGATATAGCAAAAAGACGTTCACACAAAAAGCAATCAAGCACTGAAACAGGTTGGCATGGGAGCATGCAGAATTCCCATTCTTTGGGGTTGCCTAGGCAGGGCGCTACAGAACCTGACCCGCAAGTTAATCCTAGTTTGAACTGAGGGTTGGACCAGATAACCATACAATAGTTTATTTTGGAAAGGACCCTTGAAGGTTAGCTAGTAAGACAGCTACTTTGGAACCGCTTAAGCACAATTCAAAGCTCATAGGGGACTCTAAAATAGCCATTTGTTTCAGTAGACTACAGAATCCCAAAGCCATGCTGCTGATAAAACCCTTGAGATGTTATAGAAGTTGCCTCACAGTGTTTCTTAATACCTCAGGCTAAATCCCTGTTCTCCATTGACTTTTATTCTTCCCCAGGATGCACTTTTGGGATTGCATGCAGTTTGTCATTTCCATCCATTAAATAACTCTGTAGGTATTGCAAGATATATCACACCTTCTGGTTCAGTGAATTTTCTCAGCTTCAAATTACTCATTTATATAACAGACAAGTAACAAGCCATAGAAATTCACCACTCAACTTCTAAGAAGGAAACAACTACCTAAACACCATGAATGATTCTGTAAGCAACCTGAAAACTCTTTATTGCTACTGCTTTGGATTACGGCATCCATGAAATAAATTCCAAAACTTCACTAGCGACAGAACCATAGAATCTTGTAGGTTGGAAACATGATTAAGATCATCAAGTCCAACCATTAACCCAGCACCACCAAGACCACCACTAAACCATGTCCCTAAGCACCTCATCCACACTTCTTAATACCTCCAGGAATGGTGACTCAACCACCTCCCTGGGCAGCCCGTTCCAATGCCTGACAGCCCTTTCAGTGAAGAAATCTTTCCTAATATCCAGTCTAAACCTCCTCTGGCACAACTTGAAGGTGTTTCCTCTTGTCTTATCACTTGTGACTTGGGAGAAGAGACTGACACCCACCTGGCTACAACCTCCTTTCAGGTAGTTGTGGAGGGCAATAACGTCTCCCCTCAGCCTCCTCTTCTCCAGCCTAAACACCCCCAGTTCCCTCAGACATTCCTCACAGGACTTGCGCTTCAGACCCTTCCCCAGCTCCATTGCCCTTCTCTGGACATGCTCCAGCACCTCAGTGTACTTCTTGTAGTGAGGGGTAAAAGCTTGAAGCTTTTGGAGCCTCAATTCCATTTTTAAATGTTTCTGACTACAGGATCTTAAAGTTATAAGAACAGGCTAGAGTTCTGCTACTCAGGGTCATCTTGCCTGCAGTACAGCCAAACAGAAAAGCTGTGCTTGGCCAGTAGATGAAAGAAGTGGCATAAACATTTCCACTAGTCAAGGCAATTCAGGTTAGCATTTACTTCAAATCCACCATGTTAACCTCCTATTAATCCTTCTCTTCCAAAAGAAATAAGACTTGTTCATACAGATCAGGAAGACAATTACTACCAGTTTTCAGTAGTCACAGAACTCCAAAACTTGAACATTTGTATTAAAGGCAGACATTTTAATAGATTAGTAAGTTAAGCTTAAAAACACACCACACCCCCAACACAAACAATTCAACACTTTTTTTTAAATAGCCAAGATATCACAGCTAGAAGGTTTAGCGAACCCTACCATGACTAAGCAAAAGCAAGATTAAGCAATTGATAGACAGATTAGGCATAGCAGTTGAGCCAAAAGAGGTTAGGAGAGTGCATGCAGAGTAAAGATTATGCAAGCAGACGTGCAAATACAGCATGCTGACCAAAATCCTGCCCTTGAATACATCCTGATAATTAGAGAAAGGACTGCACAAAAGTTGAAGGTTCACTAAAGTTCAGTGCCTTGACGTGTACAGTACATTTAAGAAGCTGAATTCAGCTCTGACAGGCTCTCCCAGATATTGCCACAAGTAAGTATTCGAAAGAATTCCTTCAGCAACATGGGGTTTGGGGTGGCTTTTTTTTTAAAAAAACCCCACCATGTTAAAGAACTGAAC